TGCCTAAACCTACCTCTGCATTTACATACAGGACTTGGTTGTCCCAGTTGTATTTACATGTTAGGTAGACCATTTCTGTTTTGGGAAACAAGATAAGAATGCCGTTTTAAAACTTTTGGATCTGGTTCACCTGTTAACCTGTTCTTTTCTACTTCGTAACCTCCAAGACACGTCTTGTCACATTTAGATCTGAAACAAACAACTGCCTCATTTGGATACTTGCTAATTGCGGATGTAATTTATGTATTTGTGTAAGTTATGACCGAAAACATATTTGAGTCTTTATCCATCTTCACAATATTCGGTGACAAGTTGATGTCACATTGTAATAAGCTATATATGCCTAGTGTTTGATTAAAGTGACAGTGCTCTTTCTCTCTTGTCAAGTACAGTAAGACCCCTCATTGGTTCCTTTGTTGAACTTTGACCTCGTACGCATCATGGATATGGTGGCACCAGTGCCTTATTGCTATGGATATCATGTTACCCATTTCATCCACTTTTTATCTTCGTATTTTCTTGTAATTCTGATCTGCATCTGAAAGGCTGAGTAGCAAACTATACATACTTCCTTTCAATCATTTCATTTGGAATGTAGTGCGTATGGTTTTCTTAGTGCTTTGTCCTGTTTTAGACAGTTGGCTGGTTAGTTCAAAAATGATTTCAGCATATTTTCACAGTCATCTATCCTATCCTTCATGACGTCTGTGATGGCAAAAATATTGACCATTCTATGCTAAAATAATTTGAAAACACAAAAGTAGAACCTCAATAGGAAAAAATTCAAAAAAATAAAATGGTAAGGATAAGAATGAATATGGTGCATTTACTCCACTGCCAGTGATTCCAGGTCATTTCACTTAGAGTCTCTAACTCTCACTCTTTTTTAATTGTCAAGCGACCCCCCACATAAGGTCCACTTTTACGCGGCTGTGATTGACAGTCATATGTTTTATGGACTGATACCATGTTTTCGTTTTTTCACACTTCTCTAGCCCAACCTAGTTTAGCTAGCACAGTGCCTCAGAGTAATGGATGAGTTAGCGTGTATTTCTCAACCACATCACTACGTAGTAAACAGATACGTCAACTGACCAACCTATTTAATGTAGGACTTCACGTTCTATATTATTTACTTAGCGATTTCTTGATCCAGTTTTATGCAATGATGGTCGGATACTTAGAGCTATGTAGAACTGTGGCTGGTTAGTCTAGGGGCTTGATTGCCAGCTAACAGGTTATGATTCAAACCCAGCTCAACCCACCGAGGTTTTGGCAGCCAAATAGTATCATTGACCTTCCCTCATATAGTGTGTGGCTCATTGCCTACTCCACGAATGTGCACAAGGTTGCTGATTGGATTTCGACTTAAAGCCTTCTCATGTTCTCCATTTTTGATAGCCATGTTTCACAAGCTAAGGGAGAACTTCATAAATACGTCTATAAAAAAGTTCAAATGGTAAAAATTCACATCTCTGACGAACATCACCCAGAGTAAACACTTCACTCGGTAGGTCACCATGGGCTGCAACATGGCTCCGGGTACTAAATATAAAACCTTCAGTAGGCAGCTTAGTCATTTTGTACAATGAACACATCTAAAAGTTTGGATCTTAGTAGGAAGTTGGATAGTTTTCGATGTAACTGATCTTCCACGTCATCGAAATAGTGGTCAGTGGGTAAGTAGAAATTACGAGAAGACAGCGGTATGTGTTACTGTCTTTCTTATTTTTTGATGCTCCGTTTGGTTTTATGTTCATCTCAGAGTTTCTACTGGGGCCCAGTCAGGCGATGCACTCTTTACTGTTGGTTTTTAATGATAAACCTACATCCACATATCCAAGTCTGCAGCCAGCGTTAGTATAAGACCTGACATTACCGGTTCAAGTTGCCACACATCACATTGAGGTGGAAAGCATTAAGATGAAAGAAAGAAGTGAGGAAGAAAGTATTCAACCAGTAAAAAGTCGTGAAACAAGAAGAATAAAGGATAATGAATAAAAATTGGTATGACTACTAAATAGTGTATAGATTCACTTACACCACTGAGCTCGATTCTGAACCATGTCACTTAAAATTTTCCACTAGTGATGTCCGTTTTCACGCGAACTCCAACCTGATAGCTGACATTTCATATTATGGCTCAAGCCAACAGTTAAAGACTTTGTGGAGTGATGTCATGTTTGTCAGGCTACTTTTGATGTTTTAATCCTAATTTAACTAAGATTACACGAAGAGATAGATTATGACTGTGCATACGTAACGCATGTCCCAACGAGGAGTCATTGAATGTTTAAAAATTCATCACTTGACTTACCTCTAACCTAAAGTTCTGTGGTTGACTTTATGTTACTCATGTAATGGTCTCACAACACGCCCTGGATACGAAGGCAAAGTGGCCGACAGCTGAAGTCTTTTCATGTCTTCTATCTTCATTGGCGATATTTAACAGCCATATAGCTGAACAGAGCGAACTGCAGCTCAGTACACTCAACCCTTAATAGGCAGTTGAGCATCATGACGGCGCCAAAAGCGGTGAAGTTAGAGGATGTCAAGTAAGTCTTTTGTATTCATGTCGAGACTTCATCGGTTATTAACCCAGCAGGGCGGTCAGCTTTTTCAGTCCTTTCACTGCCTACTGTTAGAAAAGGCGCCGCTGACGACCATTCCTTGGGTAGGGATTTGCATTTGAGTGGTGAGGGATACATTCCAAACCTTCTCAAATTATTATTCAATGTGTCCTGAAGATTGCATCTTGTTAGCATTTTCACCCTATAGGATTGTGTGGGCCCTAAGTCTAAGGAGGTTTCCATTGACATGGTCAATCCCTGTTTAGTCAGACTAAAGAGGCAGACCTCCATTAGCGCGTCTACGACAAAGTTAAGAAGGAATCTAGAGATTAAACATTCTTGATGGACACAACTTGACATAAACAACTCACCATAATTGTGGTTCATTGCTTTGAAGAGACGACCTTCATCTAGCTGGTCACGGGTTCGAACCCCGCTTGGCCTACCAAGTTCTAGATAACCAGGTAGTATCATTTGCCCTCACGTATTAGTTATGGCCCGTCGCCTACTGCACAAATCTGCTAAACGTCGTTGAGTGCATTTCGATTTTCTCTCCACAAACTCTAACATGTTCACGAGTGTTCAAATATATAGCCCTCCACAGTGATGTTATTACCCGGCATCCCTTTGAGTGAAAGACTATCTATGCGCATTTATTAGAAGCAGTATGCATCTAAGGGTAGGGACGCAGTTTTGGCTAGCCAAACCTCTCTAAATTTACGAAAGTGCGAACATTCAGAGCTGCGGTATGCATTCTGCAGTATGGTTTTAGGAGAACGCGAGTTCTTTTTCGTGAACTCGAACTGTTATCTTGGACTACAGAGCTAAGTGTTATCGAAAAATTAGTAGATAGAAGTGATGTGGATTTATCAAGCAGCGAAACTATACGGCTGGTGACTTAAGTGGTTTTGTTCGCTTAAGGAGGGTGATTATAGACCCGAAGGAATGTTTGCTTGAGGCAAGTCACATACGACCTTTTGTGATTTGGTTGTAGCTTTTATGTTGACTACAGTAGCATAAATGCTTTCACACCATATTTTCATCATAACTGTCACATCTGATTTTATCACTTGATATCTCCCACTTTTCATTCTGTGACTTTTCATTACTTTTCATCATGCCGTTTGCATATTCCCCTGTCTTTTGTCTTGTTTTATATCTTGATGTTCTTTTATAAGGTAGGGCAACTCAGAAAGTTACATGGTTGTGCTGAGTTTCCTGTCAATACTTACTGACTTACTCTAAAATATCAGTCCTGATTACTTCATAGCTTTATCAGGAGCAACAACGTGAAGCCTAACAAAAGAGCTTCTGAGTTCGGTTTGATACAGTCTGTGTCGCAGAATCGAGTAATACTAGATATAAAATACGTGAAAACCTACTATATATGTCATAAGCTTTTGGGTTGGTTTCATGAATGACACCAAGTTAACACGACGATAAGCCACCAAGTGAACTGAATAGAGTAGCAACTCTAACCCTTTTATTTATTTTCAATAAGCACGTATTTTACAGTCTTCCACTCATTTGCTTTTACGTATGACTGGTAAGATCACAACAATGAATTGTGGATATTTAGCAAAGGTATTTAGACTAGATGAGTAAAATGTATTTTACACTTAAACAACTATTACTTTTGAATATTCAGGCATAAAATAGTAATTAACGACCGAAAAGAAATCTAAAATGGAACATAAAATACTGCTGTGAAATTTCCCGGGGAAACATCTGCGATACAACATATATCGTCGTATACGCCCTGTCTTTTTTTCACCTTATCTCCTACTGATTGGTGATACTGTCCAGAATGTTAACGACACTACAGTAATACTGTGACCGATTTTAAGTCGTCTCTTAAAGTCTCCAGTCAAACTCGTAACATCTAGAGCTGGATGGTACACACCTGCCCTAATGACTCAAACTATTAGACACTTACTGAGTCGGCGATTGAACAGTACGCTCTCGTATCTAAAGCCTGTTGCTGCTTTTTTATTAAAATTTCGATGCAAATACTGGTCAGCCTCCAAGCATTTAACTCTAAAATTTCTGTGATAGTTCTTTAGAAAAGGTGCAAGTTATGGAAAGTTTATTGTATACTTTGTAGTCGTGTGATAGATGGTTACACTTTCATAAGATTAAAAGGTTACCGATTATCATGGCAAACACAATCACTAATCCGCAACCTGAAAATGAGGTTACTGACGCAGGCTTGTTTTATAGGATAGTTCTTTCAAGCTATTGAGATCTATAGTTTTCAAGGGTACTTCATTTCTTCAATTATTACATGTCAGACATTTTATTTTCCTGATCATTACAGGCTGTATCTTGTGCGATATACTGCTAAGTTGGCATTTGTATAACCTCAGTACTTCAACTTCTTACCGGTTCCCTTTTGGAACCAGAAAGACAGTAGCTTGAATGTGATTTATTGGGTATTGAAAAGTAACATGATTGATGCAATCAGAATTCTGAAATCTGGTGACAATGAGGACCTGAAGAACCTTATACAAACCTTTAATATACATGCTCGTGATGCAGACAATAATACATTACTTCATCATGCCTGTTTGTTGGGAAATGTTGAAGCAGTTCGTCTTCTGTTAGATAGTGGTGTTCATGCCAATGCTTGTAATATTGATGGACAGACTCCAATTTGTGATGCAGCTCTATGCGGTTCAGCTGAAATAATTTCCCTCCTACTTAGAAGGAAAGTTGATGTCAACCCACCTTCATATTGGGGTTCTCCTCTAATATACGCGACGCAGAATGGTAGGCTCAAAGTATTATTTTAATCACCATCATGTTTACAGAGTCGATTAACGCTATGAGAGTTTTGATTGATGCTGGTGCAAGTTTAAATTCGCCTGAACGTTCTGGTCTTTGTCCTTTACATATAGCCATTCAGAGGAAATTTTATGCTGGGATCTACCTTCTACTTTCTAAAGGTATAATTGACCTCTATAAGTTTATTTCTTAAAGTTATTTCGCTTGTTTGGTCCCTTTTTAAATTTCTCACATTATATATGATTTTTTCTTGTATCTTATCGATTGTGCGATCTTACTTTAGTGAAGTCAATCAAACAAGTACTATGTCTAAAAGATGAAAGCACACTGAGGTTTCATAGTTTTTCGTGATATATGTGTTTTTGAAAAGTCACTGGAAAGGTAGCAGTGCAAGATGACGTCATACGTGATGTAACGCAACTCGAAAACTATTCGCAGTTCCATGTAGTCGGTAATGAGCTACACTTATTATTTTCTTGTCAGGGTCAATTATACTACCTACCTTCCCAAACTCAACTGAGTGAAATGAGCTTTAGAACTGCCATTCTCCGGTTGGAAACGGAGTGCCTAAGCGTATAAGTCGCAGCTCCACAAGTGATATACAACTAGGTTTAGTGTTCGAATAGTTTTATGTTGATGATCACCTTTGCACTAGTAACTAGAAAATTAAAAAAAGTCGATCTTACGTTTTTGAAAGTAAGTTCTGCATGTGAATCTCATTAAACTTCTACTTCTGTGACTTAACTGGAGGTTATACTTATGTGCAAGAATGCATTGGGAAACGTCTTGTAGTAAATAGTGAGATTAATACCCCTTACTCGGTCAGTACAGATTCCTTGCTATGCTTTATGATAGGATGATTCACCTGTTTTTCAATTTATTTTGACTGATATCACTTCTCCTAACTTGCCGATGCAGTAGGCGTGTTAAGGGTCACTAATGCACTAAACTGAATTGTATGCAGTTGTGATATCTTAACTAGGTAACTGAGTGATGCCTAGTACTAAAAATCTAGTTCAGCAGTGAAGTGGATTTCAACAGAGGTATTGAAAAGGTGTCATTCATGAATCATGCAGTACTAAACAGCTGTCCATCGCTTTAATGATTCTCCACTTGATGTCACTTCATGAATAACATCAGTCTAAAGTCAATCAATAAATTTCCACAGACCTACAAATTTAATTACTCCAGTGCTCACTAGTGACTAGCTTCGTGATGAGATTCCTGAAGTTCTAATGAGAAGTCGTGACCGGTGAGCCTAAACAAGTTGGTCGGAAGTGAGGACAGTTACTCAATGATGGCATTGGATGGAGATGGAGCTATATCATAAATTTACAGAAGTAAGAAATATAACTCATATGATTCTGACCCAGTGGCTTAGTGGCAACTTACTGATCACGGATTTGTTTATTTGATATAAAGCGCACAGTGATACAGTATTATTTACTTGATTACGTTCCGAGCATAAATTATCATTACTCATAATCATATCAATGTAATCACACAGCACTTCGGATATCTGATTTTATAGTCCTGTCACCTGATCTCTCTTTGTTTTTTGATTGGTAGTAAAGTTTTCCATATCTCTGGTACAGGTGTTGCGTCATTCCTATTCCACATGTGTTGGGTGTGGATTCGATGAACAAAGATTCAGTAATTAATCTCTCTCTCCACCTAGCTATATTAGACTTAAGTACAGTGGTTTTATCCCACCCAGCCTATTGTGTGGTTGTGTGTTAATCAATGTAATGCAATGGCCGAGTGTTTTTCTAGGTTATTGATCTTACTGGGGTCTGTCGTTCTATGTTTAGCTAAATTCCTATGTTCTGTTAATCTAACTGACCCCGACCGGCTAGTTTGACCTATGTATTTGACCTCACAGTCATTACATGGAATTTGGTAGATTATATTATTTTGCCTAATTGGTTCTATCGGATCCTTATGCCGGCCGACAAAGCTTACCTCTAAGTGAGTTTGTTGGTTTAAATGCCACCCTAATTCCAACCTTGTTGAGAATCCTATGTATGGTTTCTGATGTTCCTTCCTTGTATGGTATCACAATAGAGGTGTTGATTTCCTTTCTACTTATGTTGTCACTATTATTTGTATTTGTATTAGTGTTATTATTTTGCTTCTTATGTGTTGGTGTGAATTTCTTAATAAAATGATGGGGATAATTATTAATTATTAACGCTTCTTTTATGTGTTTTAATTCTTTATTTAAGTCCTTACAATGAGTAGTGAGTTTCTTAGCTCTGTTATTTAGATATTTGACTAAACCCGCTTTAACTGACACTGGATGAGATGACCTGAAGTCTAGATATCTGTTAGAATGTGTTGGTTTTCTGTAGACGGTAGTATCTAAACCATCGGATCCACACGCAACACATGTGGAATAGGAATGACGCAACACCTGTACCAGAGATATGGAAAACTTTACTACCAATCAAAAAACAAAGAGAGATCAGGTGATAGGAGTATAAAATCAGATATCCGAGGTGCTGTGTGATTACATTGATATGATTATGAGTAATGATAATTTATGCTCGGAACGTAATCAAGTAAATAATACTGTATCACTGTGCGCTTTATATCAAATAAACAAATCTAATATGGGACTACATTCTACCACAGTGCCCAAGTTTTTCACTTATATTACTGATCACTGAACCTGAGAGTGTTGAGTTCAACTTCTGTTAGGGTATATAAGATTCGTACTTCTGGGGAATTTTTTCAGTGATTCTCTAACTGATGTCATTCCATGATGAATATCAACTTGAAATCAACAAATAAATCCCCATAACTCTCCAAATTGAATCTTTCAGATAGTTATATTATGATGTTGAGCTTACAATGCTAACTCCAGTAGGTAATATTTTCGCTATTGTGCTTCGAAACCATAATCTCAATGTTAATTTCTATATGTTTCAGCTTGAAATATTCGTTTTCGAAGTAAGCGGTTACAGTCAGGTAGTTAATAACATTTTGATGTACAACACACGTTTTTTGTCTATTTTTTCGATCTCATACAAGAAGAAATTCACCGAATTATGCTATATAGAATAAAAGTTTGTAATGTGTCATTAGTGTAGATAAACTTGTCAATAATATACTATGTAAATGGGTTGACTTTCTCTTCGAAATTCATTGTTTTTTTTTTTTCTTTCATATTCTTAGAAACGAGTAGTTGTAGGGTTTCTCTCTTTTTTTTTTCAACTTGAATATCTTAGGTGCAGATCCGAATTGTGGAGTCCGATTGACAACACCTTTACATATGGCAGCAAAGTTAAATGACTTTGATATAACACAACTGCTGTTAGAATTCGGTGCATTCCCATCTCCTATAGATAAAGAAAATCATACTCCAATTGATTATGTCCCTTACACAAGTCCTGTTTACCAGCTATTAAAATCTGTACAAAGTGAGTAGACTGATAGTTAGTTGTGTTGTTAATTTGCTTATGTTTTACTTCATTAATTTCTTATGAAAACTTTAAATATGTAATTTTTCATTTACAAAATGATACTTTCTTGATTTAGGCACTTCTCAAATGAATTTTGAGGGGTTTGTAGAGATTGCATGTTGAGATTCATTGTAGACTGACATGAGTTAGAGGAACAATGGAAACCTGGGAGGACTGCACACCTGTTTCGTACCACTATGAGACTCGCCAACAGTGTGCCCTCATGACCCCGCCACCTTCAAGTTTCATGGTCAGCCAGTTATTATTGACCCACTGGGTAGGAATCCATTGGTCCATATTCCCAACTTCTGTCAGTTCACCACATAGTGCTACCACCACCCAATATCATCGTTCAGTATTCGTCCTTATGGCCACCAGGTTTGCCCTAGTGGTCATGACTTCTTACTGGAACTTCGGGAATCACCTCTCGAAGCTAGTCACCAATGAGCACCACATCAATTGAATTTGAGGGTTTGTGAGGATTTAGAGATATTTCAAGTTGGTATTCATCGTAGACTGACGTCCCCACAAATCCCCGAAATTCAATTGATCTGGTGCTCATTGGTGACTAGCTTCGAGAGGTGATTCCCGAAGTTCCAGTAAGAAGTCATGACCACTAGGGCAAACCTGGTGGCCATAAGGACGAATACTCAACGATGACATTGGGTGGCGGTAGCACTATGTGGTGAACTGACAGAAGTTGGGAATATGGACCAATGGTTTCCTACCCAGTGGGTCAATAGTAACTGACTGACCATGAAACCTGAAGGTGGCGGGGTCATGAGGGCACACTGTTGACGAGTCTCATAGTGGTACGAAACAGGTGTGCAGTCCTCCCAGGTTTCCATTGTTCCTCTAACTGATGTCAGTCTACGATGAAAATGCCAACTTGAAACTTTTCAAATGATTCTAACTGCACTCCATATAACTATGATTGGCTGAGTAGCTGTTATATGCTAACTTTGACATGTAAATCGACGTGTCTTTGAATGATACGGTTTAAGAAAAAGTCAAATCCCTATGTATTTTGGCACTCATCAGCATAGACCTTTATACGACCTGAAGAAAATCTTCGTTGTAACTGGGATTTAAATGCATTTTCTCTAGTTCTACATTTGAATGTTAGAATAATCAGGTATGCGTTTGATAGGTAGCGGCAAAAAGGTTTTCAACAGAGAAAAATTGTTTTCAGTTCATGATTTATACATGTACTGACATGATCACCTGATTGGACAAATTTGATGTCATAGGACCAATCGGATTGGTTTATTTATGGCTTCATTTTTTGAGGGTTTTGTAAATGTATACATATACCGTGCATTTGTTGAACAAAGTTGTTCTTACAGTCATAGTTCATCTTTTATCTTCTGATTTTTGTGGCTCAGTGAAGCAGAAAGAACTGAGGAAGGTCAGTCGTAACAGTATTCCATTGAGGTCTCCATTGAGTCTTAGTATCATTATACTAACGCCCGTAATTCCATTCGGTCTCAGCAGTGTTTGGCTTTTAGGCTATAAATTTACTTCTACAGGGAATCTATACTACACATTATACATCCTAGTCCATATTATTCAACCATTACTGATATCTGAAACATTAACCAAAACTATTACATGGTAACGGATTGATGTAGATACTCATGCGCTGGTCATGATTCTTTCAATTCTTGTTAATTCTGTCGTTTTCTTTCCCTCTGAATCCCCAGATCAAGTTCCATCATTACAATCACTTTCAAGACTGGCTATATTATCATTGTTGCGTTCTAGAAAAGCATTACCAATTCGAGAACTTGTTCTACCGAATATTTTAAAGGATTATGTGTCATTTCGTTATCTCCACTTTCTTGCTGATTAACCGGGGTTGGATGTTTTCTTATCAGTATTACATTGTTAATATACTTACGGTTTTGTTATGTTTTACTGATTTATTAATAATTTTCATTTTATTTATTTGTTTTGTATAGTTTATTGTTAATACTTTCAGTTGGACACTTTCAATTCATACGTTACCGGTTATTCATAGTTGTCTGTTTTGTTTTATTTTAATCAAGGTTATTTTTTCCTCTATGATTTTAACTATTTATCCATATCATCTTATCTGAGTAATATCCCTTGTGATTTTTCTCATTACATCACTTAGAACAAAGCTTAGTATGCATGCATTGATGTGATTTATCAGTAGTGTTTTGTGATTATTATTATTATTATTATTAGTAGTAATAGTAGTATATTTTCGGCTCAATTTATTCCATGACATAACAGTTTTGATCATTGTTACTTTGTTTCATAATTGTATTTTGCTTGTTGGTAACTTTGGATTTCTTCATAAAGTTAATTTTATTCTGATTTCATAACATTTTCTGCAGATAATTTTTTCTCTCCTCAAAATAAATACTTTTTTTTTGTGATCTAAAGCAACTGATCCTTTTGATAAATTTAAACAACGTAATGAGAAGACAAAGATTATTTGAAACACTAAAAGGATTACGAAATAACTCTGATGTATTGTTATACTAAAATCTGATAAAGGATTGGATGTAGTCGTTATGACCATATCTGATTATAAAAGTAAGATGTTATCTATTCCCAGTGATGAAAGCAAATTTATGTCAGATGCCCCCTGTGAAGGAATAAGTAAATTGGAAGGTAGAGTAAATTCTAAACTTGTGAAAATGCTTGGCATGCATTTAATCGTCTAAAACCTATGGGATCTGAACATCCACATCTATATAGGTTACCTAAAACTCATAAACCTGACAATCCACTTCGTCCAATATTGTCTGTGTGTCGATCACCCACACATAATCTAGCTAAATTGTTGGCTAAGCTCTTGAGTTCTATCAGAAGCCATTCGAGGGTGAACACTTTTACAGATTGATGGCGTCGCGATGTGTAGTCCATTAGGACCATTGCTAGCTGATGTATGCATGTCATATATTGCGAACATGGCTGACGATCTCATCGGAAGGGTTTCACTTTATAAGAGATATGTCGATGGTATGGTGGTCATTATTGTGAAAAGCCTGGTGATGCGATGTACCTGTTAGAGAAAATGAACATGACTCAAAGTCATATTAGCCTGACTTGTGAACAAGAGACGAACAACCAGCTACTGTTCCTAGACATATTGCTCAGTCGACTGGAGGATGACTCCATCTATAGGAAACCTCCATAGACAGGTCAATATCTTAATTTCCATAGTTATTGCCCCGTCCAATATGAACGCGGTTTAGTTAGATGCTTATTAAACAGGATAAACTATATCTGCAACGATGACACCAAGGAGAAAGAAATCAACTTACTGACGACAACACTGACACACAATGGATACCCGTTGAGATTTATCGACAGGTGCAAAAGTTATGTACCATTGAAAAGTACACAGTGTTCCGTTGCTAGGAAAAATGCCTACATCTCATTACCATTTAGAAGTGATTCGCATAGCTTTGTTGTGAGGAAAAAACTTAGATCGACCATCTGTAAAACATGTTATGCAGCGAAGGTCATCATTGTAGAGAAGACAAAGTCCATGTTACAGCACATACCAAAACAACATATAGATGATTACATCACATCCCACTGTGTTTATCAATTTACATGTATGTATGGGAGTAGCAAACATGATATCCAGTTAAGAAGGTTGAACATGTACTTAAGTGGCTACAAAAACGAATGACCTCAACAGATAAGTCCAGTGACAAACATCCATCTTCGTCTATCGCTAAACATATACTAGAAACTAACCATAGGATAGACATGAAAACAGTCTTTAAAGTACTACATAAAAGTGGTCAGAGCGGAGTGCTTAAGTTTACTGAAGCTCTTGCCATCCATAAATTCAAACTTCCTGCTTTATGTATGCAAAAACAATTTGTACTCACGTTGAACCCATCTTGGTAGTGTTGGTTTCAATTTTCATATCAAACGTAACGTGATTAACATTTTTTTCTTTTTCTCTCCTTATTCCTACGTTTCCTGTTAACTTCATTGACCCTTTTTGTAAATTTCCACATAAATAGTTCGACAAGTCATGTGTACTATCAGATTGTTTGAAATGTATAGGGCTAATACATCACACCAGTTTCAGATAATCTTCGTCTTCTCATTACTCTGTTTAAGCTTCTTTGATCATTTTTATTCAAAATGTAATGTAGAACTATGAGCTTTGAGCAGTTAAAATGATGGTTGTTTGATTTGGATTATAAACACTAGAACGTCTAGCTGAGAGGAGTGTCGGTCAGGGAGAGATATGCACATTAGGAACCCCCATTACTGTTTGTTGTATAAAAGTTATTTTTATTCGTATTTTTGTAGGTGTTATCTGTTTGAAGCTATCATCAGCAGAGAAATCTAGAGAAAGTTTTGAAGAAAACGTGTTATGGAAGGTTGATAATGCTTAGAAGGAACTTCGGTGCTAACAGACAGCTGATCTCTTGATGTGATGGTTCTGGCTTGTGTATCACAGTGATTACGACAAAATCTGTTCTGATCCTGTGAAAGCAGGAGGGTCAGCTGTGTATTAGGGGAACTAAAGATGGCTATCTAGATAGCCTGAGTAATTTTCAATGTCTGATAGTCTTAGGTTGAAGTTGTACTAGCGATTGAATACAAGTGTGATAGTCACGAGGTGTTCCACTCAAGTAACCAGCATTTCAGCTGACTTCCTGTCTGCTTCTGGTAATGAGAGGCAATAAAATGTTGGTCCTAAAAACACCAGGTACTACTCTACGTTTTTCTGTCACCGGTGACACGAATACGGAAACCATTAAGAAGGAAGTGTATGACACGCTTTAGATATCTCTTGGGATCTGCAGTTCAGTCACCAACACTGTACACTCAAAGATTTGCCAATTTCACACTCTACCATCATTGCTCAAAATTCGAGTGAGTTAAGTATCTTTTCTAGAACCCTTTTGGAGCTTATGCGATATAGGTCATTAGGCCTCATCGGCGAAAACCTTGACGAATGGGTTAATAAAGATTACCCTAAAAATCGAATCGCGCACTTCTTACTATATATCTCGCGGTTTTCTGTCACCACTCCTAATGGGTCTGTTGGTGTAGAAATAACATTAAATTCAAATGCAGAATGTTCACTCCTTGTCCGGACACCAGTTAAAAATCATCTATGTATTTGTGAGAAATAAAAATAGATAGTGTACTCATTGATGCCTATTTGTGCCATCGATGTGCCTATTTGTTGTAGTCTGAAAGATGTCAAGGGTAAGCTTTATCAAGGGATGTCAACTGTGTCACGGAAGAAAGGCATATTGTGTAGCAACTTTAACGCTGAAGTAAAGAAGCTCAGAAAATAGGAACAATGTCTTAGTAGGTATTTATCGAGTTCCATGTCAAAAATGGTGATCGTTTCCTACAGTTTTACTTTAATAGCCACCTGTTCCTACCTAGGACTTATTTATTATACGGAAAAAAACATTTTCTCAGTTTGCGTCAGCCAATATCAAGATAACAGTGAACATAGGTAGTCGTGGCTGTATTGTGTTCTCTGAACTGGGTTGTTAAGTCGTGAAGCTTTCATCCTCCTTCTAGACGACATCATCAGCATTAACTTCAGTATGAAGTGAGCTGTCAATATCTCTCCGTGAGTGTTTGAGTAGCGTGTCTTGACGATATGGTCTGTGATTGGTTGTTTCTTTCGATTGTTGTGTCATTGATTGTATAGACTTTCCTGTTGGCTGTTCCTCTGCTTAACCTCTGACCTTTCTGTCATTTATCATTTTTCTTATTGGTTGAGTGACGAAATATCGTGGCGTTTAATAGCCAATTGGTGTTCATGTAAATGACGAAAGCGAAGAGGGCGACCACTTTGTCCAATGTAGTGTTTACCACAGTTATTGCAGTTGATTTTGTAAATGATATTCGGTTTGTCTTCTCTGATTGTTGTTGCATCCTTTGGTCTGCATAGTAGTGTTTGTAGGGAATTTGTTGCTTTATGAGCCACATCAATTCCAAGTGGTTTCAGTAATGTTGTCGTGATTTCTGATATTTTCTTGATGTATGGTAGAATGATATGTTTATTAATTTCTGTCGATGACTTTTTAGTTGATGATGTACGGGATAGGTATCTTCTCATAAAGTTTCGGCTACCCATGAAACTTTATCAGAAGATGCCTATCCCGTACATCATCAACTACAAAGTCATCGACAGAATCAATAAACATATCATTCTACCATACATCAAGAAAATATCAGAAATCACGACAACATTACTGAAACCACTTGGAATTGATGTGGCTCATAAAGCAACAAATTCCCTACAAACACTACTATGCAGACCAAAGGATGCAACAACAATCAGAGAAGACAAATCGAATATCATTTACAAAATCAACTGCAATAACTGTGGTAAACACTACATTGGACAAAGTGGTCGCCCTTTTCGCTTTCGTCATTTACATGAACACCAATCGGCTATTAAACTCCACAACATTTCATCACTCATTTCAGTGCACGTGGATACAACTACGGACATGAATTCAATTTCGACAATGTAGAAATTTTGGACTGAGGAAACACAAAGAATGTCAGAGAATTCCTAGAAGCTTGGCATTCAGGCCAGTCAGCCGTCAACAGATGTATAGACATAGACCCAATCTGTCAACCAATAAGAAAGATGATAAATGACAGAAAGGTCAGAGGTGAAGCAGAAGAACAGCCAACAGGAAAATCTATGTAGTCAACGACACAACAATCAAAGGAAACAATCGACCAGAGACCGCTTTGTCAGGTCAAGCTACTAAATCACTCATGGGAAGATACTGACAGCTCACTTCATACTGAAGTTAGTGCTGATGATGTCGTCTAGAAGGACGATGAAAGCTTCACAACTTAACA